CTTGTTTTTATGATTGTCTTTCCCATCATTTTACACACAGCCCTTTTCTTAGTAACTGTGGCCAAAGTGGCTTAGTCACTAGTACCAACACTTTTTGTAGGATCCCCAGGGATTTGTTTTCTTGTTAAAGTCTCTTGGTTGTAGAGATTGCATTGGTCAGCTGGGGTGGGAGGGAGACAATTACTTCTCCAGGGGCTGACCTAAGCTGCAGGTACCTGCCTGGAGGAAGAAGGGGTCCTTTTAGAACCTGGGGTAGGAGGGGCTGTGGCCCATGCCTGCCTTCAGCACTGTGTGACAACTTGGCAACCAGTCAGATTATCTATTCCCAGGCAAATGGCCTTGCTAAAAATAAGCAGACAGCTATTTAATTCTGACAGCCAAGTCTCCTCCCCAGCAGCCCTGGGGCAGGGCTCTGGTGTCCTTCTGGGAGGCTTTTTCCTGACTGTCTGAGACTGCCTGAAACACCTTCCCTATTCAGGTTTGCCTGCCTTCAGTGTCCTGGGCCTCAGGGCCCAGGAGGCTCTGGGTGAGGAAACAGCCTCTGGGGGCAACCTTCAATTAGCTTGTGAGTGTGAAGAGTTTTCAACCTGCAGTGCTAAATGCCTCTCAGAGCTTGAGAGGTTCAGGTTTAAAGAACAAACAAAAAACTGGGCAAAAGGGGCAACTTGGTGCTGGGAGAAAGAAGGAATAGCAGAGAGCCAGTGAGAAAGAGAGAGAGAGAGACACACAGAGACAGAGAGAGAGAGTGTGTGAGTGTGTGTGTGTGTGAAGGGGCACCCTACCTGGACTTTCAGGAAAGGTTGTTATATCCTATACTACCCCTTCTAGACCTGGCAGAGATCACAAGGATTGGGGAAAATGCCATTTTATGGATTTCCAAGAAGGCTGTATTTGGCTGAGGTGAGATTGGCTTGAGGGTAGAACCCTGTGGGGGTGGTAAGTGTGAGGAAGTGAGGGGCTAGCCATTTTCTTGAATGGTGGGGAAATGAGGGCTGGTGGAGGGGTATCCATTACCCCACGGAGTCCCTGGCTAGGTCCTATGAGGTGACTTAAGCTCAGGTGTGTTGCATCCAAAGTCTTTAGGTGGGGTGGCTGTTGATCCCAAGAGTTCTTGGCTCTGTTCTTGGGGGAACATGGCTTGTATGTCTAATTGCAAGGAAAAAATAAATAAGCTGTGCTTTCCCTGGATATCTAGGAATCTTGTTCCTCTTCTCACATGCTGCTGGAGCTCTTGGGTCAGGCAGATCTTGTTCCTGGAAGCAGTCATGGAGAGAGGAGGGCTTTGGAATCAGTCACCAAGTAGAACCAAGCTGTGGCACCTGGCTCCTGGTTCTTCATCATTCGACGTCTTTGGCTTAAGTCCAAAGTCAGAGTTGAGGCTGGGAGAGTGGTGAGCAACATGGCCTCAATAACAGTGTAGTTATTGTTATTAGATGCACTCAAGGAGGCCCTCCACAGCAACAGGAGGTGTCTGGCTTAGAAAATGGTTCAGGACCAGTGTTCCTTGGGCTGTAATTCTCATCTTGAGTTGGTACAACTGATGGTCAATAGGTGGCTATATATAATGCGCCTCTGGGGGCCTCTGGGGGCTTTGAGCCTTAATATCTGGGGAACAGGCTGGGCTGGGGGGTGGGGTGGGTGGGTGAGGGCTTTCTGCAGCACCAGCCTCATAGTCCCAATGAGCTACAGGAGTCCTTCAGGATGGCAGCAGATGAGGCCCATGTCATTGCCACAGGTGGCTGTTCTGTGTATTCTTTGTGAGCAGACTTGAGACTTGAGAGTAGCACAGCAGATGACAGGGTAGGAAGTGGATTGCCTAACATTTATATCCAAAGCCAGCTAGAATGCTTATTTGAGTGTTGGGCCTCTGCCTTATTGTGGTATAGTTCTGTTTTGAGGTATCTTAGGGATGTCTTATGGTGGGACCCCTAGGGTCAACTTTTAGTTTCAAAGGGCAAGGGCTTCTAGCTGTTTGGACAGGGAGTTTGTAGCACCCCTACCCCCCACCATGCATGCCAATTTGAGCTTAGGGCCTCAGGCCATATTCCTTTGGTGTGTAAAATAGAGGCACTCTGTGAAGTGATTACCTCCAAGAATTCTTTTCCTACCTTCACCTCATTCCATTTAATATTTGTATGTGCGCATATATATGTCAAAACATTTGCTATTCCAACATCTTTTACATGTACCATTCAGTGACATTAAGTCCATCCTTTGCAACTGTCATCACTATTCATTTCCAAATTTTTTCCATCACCTTATAACAGACGTTCAGTGCCCCCCAAGCAGTGACTTCCACTTTCCCTCCATTTCCCACTCCTGGTAACTACTAATAAACTTCAGTGTCTGTAATTTTGCCTGTCTAGCTAAATAAGTGGGCTTATACAATATCTGCCCTTTAGTGACTGACTTATGTCATTCAGCATAATGTTTTCAAGGTTCGTCCAGGTATCAGGACTTCATTTCTCTTTATGGCTAATATTCCATTGTATGTATGTACCACAGTTTATCTATTTATCAACATTTTTCTATGTTTTAGCTATTATGAATAGTGCTACATTGAACGTGGGGTCACATGGTGTCTTAGACTCAGTGTTGTAGAGGAGTAAAACTAGTGAAGTGGGTATATGTAAATACACATAGATAGATCATTTCAAGGGAATGGCTCATGCAGTTGTGGAGGCTGGCAAGTCCCAAGTCCATGGGTCAGGCATCAGGCTGGAAGCTTTCTGACTTATATGGTTGCAGGGGCTGATGGCCCAAAATCTGTAGGTCAGGTGGCAGGTTGCTGGCTTGTGTCCCAAGAAGTGGAGATCAGATGATGATGAGTTGGATGTAGGATCAAGAGGGTGGTGAGGGAGAGAAAAAGCATAAATGACGGGAGGGTGCACACTTTGCCAGAACATCCATATGTGTTAGGTGCAGGATACACCCTCAAGAAAACTTGCCTGACACCAGCTTACAAAATGGAAGATAATTACTTAATATTGAGAATCTTGGCCTAACCAAGTTGACACATAGCATTAACTATCACATATGGCAATTCTGTGTTTAACTTTTTGAGGGACTGCTAAATTTTTTCATAGTGGCTATATTGTTTTACTGTCCCACCAGCAGTGGATGAGTGTTCACTCTCTTCACATCCTTGCCAACACTTTTTTTTTTTAATCATGTGATAACTTGTGGTTTTGATTTGCATTTCCCTAATGACATTGAATGTCTCTTCGTGAGCTTATTGATCCATTTAATCTTTTCCTGTGATCATAGAATTACTAGAACAGTAGGGGATCACAACTATAAACTCTGCACTTCTGAAATGGGATTGCCTGATTATAAGGAGAAATCAGAATCCAGATTTACTGGCAAGAGGGAAAAGCTGAGTTCAGATACCAGCTCCACTTCCTATTAACACGTCCTCTGATGCATAAGAAAGGAGCTCTGGTGGCGTAGTGCCTGAGACATTTGATTGCTAACCAGAAGGCTGGGGGTTCAAAGCCATTCCTTGGAGGGAAGACTGGGCAATCTACTTCTGTAGAGATACTGCCTTGGAAACCCAAGGAGAGGTCGCTATGAGTTAGAATTGACTTGATGGCAGTGAGTTTGGTTTTTTTTGTTTTTGTTGCATAAGAAGAGCCCTGGTGGCGCAGTGGTTAAAAACACTCAGCTGCTAACCCACAGGTCTGGGTGGTTCAAACCCACCGAGTGCTCTATGGAAAGAAAGATTTGCAGCCTTGGAAAATCTATGATGCAGTTCTGCTCTGTCCTGTTGGGTTGCTGTAACCCGAATTGAGTCAAAATTGACTCAGTAGCACTGGATTTGGGTTTGGTGTTTGGTAAGACTTGATTTCCTGACAGCAGGCAATGGGCACCCTATTCCTGAGAGCTCCTGTCTCCTTCATACTTTTCCCTTTCTCAAATAGTTTGGTTATTTTATTTTACCTTTTTGTGTGTAGAAGACATTAAACACAAAGCAAATGTTCTGTGTGATCTACCACTTCTTTAGTACTTGTTATAGAATAACCCCCAAGCAAAACCCATTGCCGTTGAATTGAATCCAACTCATTGCAACTTTATAGGACAGAGTAGAATTGCCCCATAGTTTTCAAGGTTGTAATCTTTATGGAACCAGACTGGCTCATCTTTCTCCTGCAGAGCAGCTGGTGAGTCCAAGCTCCCAACCTTTTGATTAGCAGCTGAACACTTAACCACTGTACCAAAGGGCTTCTTTGTTATAGAGCAGTGGTTCTTAAACTTGACTGCCCACAGATTCTGATGACTTGGTCTGGAGTGTGGCCTGGGCTTTGAGATTTTAAGTTTCCCCAAGGGATTCTAATGTGCAGCCAAACTTGAGCACCAATTGGTTAAAAAAAATTAAAATTTTCCCATCCTGAAAGAAATGTAAAATCTCTCTTCACAGATAAGACATTGCAAGGAATCTACTAATAAAACAAGCCAAACCAAAACAAAAAAACCCTGTTAGAATTGATGAGCAAATTTGGTGTTCCAGGATCCAAGATCCATTGTATAAAAATCTACTCTCACATAATTGGGAATGGTACATTGTATTGAATGGGTGTTTAAAAATGCTCCAGAGCCACCTAAACAGATAAAAATGACTGGGAGTTTAGAATAAACACACTTAAACACAACTAGCCCCTCAGGGGACTATAAGGAGAATTTAGCATATGAAGCTATGAAGGAGGGGCTTGGAAAGGTCAGTTTATTTCAAAGGCGTGTGCATGAATTAGGGAGCACGAAGGGGAAGTTGTTTCTTCCCACCCACCCACCTCGAATGGATCACCCAGAGTGCCTGGATGTGAGTAGAGAGGTATGTTCTTTTTTGGAGGAAAGGGGGCAGGGGGGCAAAAACAGCTCTGGCTTTAGAGCCCTTGTTTCATCTTTGGTAAGAAGTCACATTGATACCCTCTTACATGGTGCTCACTTTATTCCTTCTCTGCCTCTCCTGCTCTTCCTAGGTATAACAACTTCAAGCCTCCAGGATGGCAATCCAGTTCCGTTCCCTTTTCCCCTTGGCATTGCCTGGGATGCTGGCACTCCTTGGCTGGTGGTGGTTTTTCTCTCGTAAAAAAGAACACATTGGCACTCATAGCAAGCAGGTGCAGGCCAGTGCTGTGGAACTAAGACCAGACCCTGCCACTGAGGAACTGCACCTTGTGGAAGATGCATGTCCCAGAGTCGTGTCAACACCCCCCAGTGTCACACAGCCACCAGAAAATGAACTGTCCGCCATAAATAAGCCTTCTGTGGAGCCCCCAGCCTTGCTGCGGGCACATCAAATCGCTCGTAGATCAGAGTCCTCAGGCAGCATTCATAACACCACAGACATGAGAATTCGACTAGGAACACGCAAAGATGACAATGGAAAGCTGGAATTACCCTTAACTTGTGATGAAGCAAAGTCCATTCCTCTAGAGTGTCCCCTTTCATCCTCAAAAGGGGTACTGTTCCCCCACGAAGCAGTCGAAGTATGTAAGCGAGAGCCTGTGTTCAGAAGGATGCCAGGGAGGGCCCGGCCGGGTCATTCTGCAGAGAAAAGTGGCCCTGGGGAGAAGGTGAGGGAGGTAGGGCGGGCAGAAGGCACTGGTGATGCAGTGTTGGGAGAGAATGCGCTTGAAGAAGGTGTGTTGTCCCAGGAGCATAACTCTGAGTTGGAGAGCAGCAAAGTGCCCAGCCTGGCTCCTTTGGGAGGCGGGGAAGAGAAAGGAAAGACCAGCTTGCCTCAGGGGGCTGTGCCAGTGCAGAAGGAAGATTATACGGTAGGGGAGTTGTTAAGTAGCTTCCCTGAGTCAGCTCATGCCAAGCTGGAAAAGGGTGAGGAGGTGCCAACACCTGGGGTCAGAGGTGACAAGACCCAGGACGGAGACCTCATAGGAGAAGTGGGCAAAGGGGAGATGGCAGATAAAAATGAGAAGCTTGAGCAAGCAGCCTTCCAGATCATCTCCAAAGTCATCTTGGAGGCAACCGAAGAAGTCCGGGCCACCACAGTGGACAAGGGTATGGGTCAGGTATGTCAGGCCTCGGACAGTGAGCTCCAAGGGCCAGAGCTGGAGAGCTGTGCTCTGGTCAGCCAGGAAGCTGTCCTTGGACAAGACGCTGTGGAGCCCACTGTGACGACGGCAGAGGCAGCCGTGGGCATGTTGGATGCTGCCCTGCCATCCTTAGACCCACCAGCAGAGGAGGACCTGTCCCCACCAAAGACCTACGTGAGCTGCCTACAGAGCCCTCTGTCCAGCCCCACCAGGGACAGTAAACCACCCAGGAACTCTGCGCACCATATCTCCCTGGCCCCCTGCCTGTCACGGGCCACCCCCGTCGGAGAGTCGCAAGATGAAGCAAACATCCTGGTGGAAGAAGCCAGCTGTGTCTCCTGCATGTCAGACAGCAGCCAGGGTGTCCCGTCTGTGGGCTTCTTGGGCCAGTGCTCAGATTCTGCCAGCGCTTCAGGGCTCGAAGACTCTTGCACAGACACCAACTCGAGCCCCAGGGACAAGGACATCACCCCGTCATTGCCAGAAAGTACTGTGTCCTTCAGCAATGGGGTGCTGAAGGAGGAGTTGTCAGACTTGGGGGCTGAGGATGGATGGAGCATGGATGCAGAAACAGACCATTCGGGAGGTAGGAGGGTCTTGGGTATTCACATGAGGGAGCAGGTGGATTCCCTCTGTCCAGTGGGGAAAGGCTGCTGGTCTACCTTTCTGACTTCTGCAGCAAAGAAATGATGCTCTTCAATTCCTTGTCCCGGTCAGCTGGAGAGTCAGCACGCAGCATAGAGCTGGTGGGTGACCCTGAAACCCCAAAGCCATAGGAGCTGTAACTGGGTATGGCAGCCAGTAACCCTCCCCAGCCCTACTCCCCGGCTTAAAGTTGAGGTTGCTGATTAGTGTAGGCATGCCTCTTTTCCTCTTTTAAATGCCAATCTCTTAATGGTTTTTTTCATGGAGAGCCCTCTTTAGCTTGATTGCCCTTGAGTGCCAAGTATGGGTATAAGTTTTTTTTATAATGGCTTCTTTCCTTTTAATCATGTGCTTATTCCCATGTCTTCACTGCTTTCCTTCTCCAGAAGCTCTCACAGGGTAAGTGCCCAAAGAATGGCCACAGCTTTGAATCCTTGTGGGAGGCTCAAGCTTTCCTGAGTTGTTTGCTGTCACCTATTCCTTCGCAGAGAGCCTCAGCCATTTTCTTTCTGTGCAGCTGCAGTGCCACCCCCGGGAAAGAAGGGCACTTTGGTAACGAAGTGTCCACTGGGTTTTTCGAGTGCTGACCCCAGCGTAGACAGTTCAGACCGCTAACTTACAGGTCAGCAATTCCTGACCCTGCCTTTGCGGCTACCCCTGGGGTATTTCTGTTTATCTTGTGGAAAGATGCCACGCAATAACTGCGTGGGTCTCTGACTTGTTTGTCCTGGAGCCCTTCCCTCTCATGGCAGCTCCAGGAAGGTTGGGAACCTTTCTTGGGAATTATACTCCTTTCAGGAGCATCTGGTGTATACCATACAGTGTACTTCGTCTCGTCTGAGGTACTGTTGATTAAGATACCAATGTCTTTACCTTGGAAAGAAAAGAATGCTTCCAGTCTTGATTGTAACAGGCCAGAGACTGTCAGGCACACCTAACTTCAGGGATGTTAAAATTTTGGTTTTTTTGTAAAAGAAAAATACATCTTAAAATGGGTGATTTTTTTTTTTTCCCCTCTTCAGAAAGCACAAAGGAATTCGCCTTTACCTGCTGCCCCTTCAGCTTACTTAATAAGCAGCTCAGGCTTGTCATAATAACTGTAGTAGCTACTCACATGTGAAGGCCTCTGAGGTGAGGCTTAGCAGAAAGGAAGGCTGCATTTGAGCTATGATGTTGGGTGGGAGGGGTTTAAGGTGGCAGATAGAAGCCTGGCAATCACATCTTTTGAGTCCACAGCATGTGCCAGGCACCAGGCTCAGGCCTTACATTCATTCGCATGTGATCCCTGCTTTATGCAGAGGTTAATGTTTAGAGGGGCCCAGGGGCTGCTAGGCTGAGGGAGCTGGAAGCTGGCTCTGGATACAGCCTGCTGTTGGCCTAAGATGGTACTCAGCCACTCAGGTGCCATCAGAGGTGTCCTGGGGCTCGTATGAGTGGAGCCCCCATCAGCCTACTTTGCATCCAGCAGGTGGGGCAGACTTCTTAGGGGTTTCCCTGCTGTGAAGCCAGTTCTGAGCTACTGGAGTGGAGGGAGGGGGTGAACTGTGAAGAGGTGGCTCTCGCTAGCTGGGAGCTGAATCTGTTGCAGCTGTAGTCCCCTGCATCCAGACAGATAGATCATTGACTGCTTAGCGAAAGGTGATGCCCAGGGTTTAGAGAAAGCATGTGGAAAATAACCTAATTAGTGGAGACTCAGGAATGATTAATTTCTGGCTCTTGCATTGTCCATAGGGAAGCCAAAGCCACTTCTCCTAAGCTGGCCTGGACCTCATTCTTCTCTAGTGGCTCCCTTGGCGTGGCCTTGAGCAAGAGTGCCATTGGGAGCAGCCCAAGCCACTGCAGTCTTGCCCCTGTAGTATTCCCTTCGGAACGCACTTTAGCTCAGTCTGTTGATCAGGGGGTCAAAGACTAGCTGTAAATTCTGATCAGCATTCAGTGGTAGCCAAGTAAGGCCTCAGCAGAAGGAATGGAGGCAACCCCCCTTTCCTTTGTCCATTGCTAGCAGAGAAGTGGGCCTGGTCAGGGATGAGACTCAGTCTCAGACAAGCCAGTGAAGACCCTGTCTTAATTCCGCTTGGCTAGAGGCCACCACCTCTGAGCACAGGCCTGGGGCTTCAGGGACTGGAGACCCCTGGTCTGTGGCTGGGATAGTTGGGAGGATGTTGAAACAGTTGTAAGCAGTCTGTCAAGGCCTGTATCACATAGCTATCTCCTGGGGCCATGCAGGCCTGCTGTTGCCTGTCCCCCCTCTCCCTACCCCATGGACTCCCCTTCCCTGGGCACAGAGTTCACCACTTGTCTCTGCTCCAGCAGCTGTGGCTGGGCGAGGCTGCCAATGAAGTAAGTAGGGACTGTAAGTGACAGGCTAAAATTAGGTGTATCTACACCCCCAGTACTCCTTTCATTGGGGTGGTTCTGATCTTTCTACACTGTGAGTTGACAGTCACCTGCCAAGCTTGAGGAGGGGGTGTGGGGTGGGGGCCTCCCGGGAACGTGAGTTTGGGAAGTTCTGTGGTGTTGGCTGCTCTGAGCTGGTGCCTGTGTGTGTGTGCCGGGCTCTTCCTCCCCTGCAGGTTCTGATGGGAACAGCATGGACTCAGTGGATAGCTGCTATAGTCTCAGGAAGACCGATGATTTCCACAGTGCCCAGGCAGGCTCTGACCCCAAGAAGGTCGACCTCATCATCTGGGAGATCGAGGTGCCAAAGGTAAGGGCCCCCAGCATTCCTGCTGGCCAAGTGCCGCCACTGCAGGGACAGACTCCAAGTTCCTGCTGGCTCAGAGACTTAAGGGGAGGGAGCCCAAGGATGAACTGGAAACCAGAAGGAGGCCCCCCCGCCCCCCGAGTGAGCCGAACGCAAGGAGGGAAAGGAACACTGTACTTTGCTAAGGTTCTGAGAGCTTCTTAACAAATGGAATTCCACCAGCTGCCTTCAGGAGTATCTTATTTGTGTCCTCTGCAGAGTCACGGGTCTGCTGATCTCCCCTGTGGGCTTTGCTTGTGTGTGGTTGGGCTCAGCTCTGTTCCCTGTTTGGAAATGCCAGCAAAAGCCAGACCGAGAGTGTGTGGGGCAGCCAGGGGGAGCCTTTCCCTGTGCTCTGCTCAGGCCTGCAGCTGGTGGCAGCTCAGATACAAAGTGTATTTTATAATTGAGAAGAGCAAAATACATATTTAGAGAACTTGAGAAGTATAGAAATGTATGAGGAAAATAAAAGGCAGCTCTAACCCTACCCCTGAGAGTGACGGTTAAGGCTTATTTTCTTCTCATCGTGCACCCTGTGGTTTTTTAAGCAAAACTGAGTTTAATGTCATTTTAATTAATGCTTTTAAATATTTAACAATTTAATTTTCCTATATTATTCGTTGAAAGTGTAATTTTACTGCATAATTCATTGTATGAATGTCAGTTTACACCACCAGTCCCTAATTCCAGAGTGCTTAAGTGGTTTCCGGCTTCTTGCTGTTATAACTTACAGCTCACTAGTTTGAATTTTTTTTTTTTTTTTTCAGTTTGATCTTTAGGTTTGTCTCTGGAGCTCAGACATAATTGATTGGCAGGTTGCACAGCTCCCTCCTGAAGTGGGGACTTGGCTTGCTCTGAACTCCGGGTCAGGCAGGCTGTTTTGACCTGGTATTACTGGCTCCCTTGTCCATGTCTTCTTTGGTGACCCCGTTAGCAGTCCTGACCTCTTCTTTCCATAGTTGCAAAGGGCACATGTGAGGCAGGCACTGGATGGAGAGGGACCATGTCCTTAGAAGTTCAGCTGGGGGTGGGGGTCGTTTGGGATCGTTTGGAGCTTGTCTTACATCATGGCTAAGTCTGGCTTCTTCTAATGGCCTTGAACTCTGGCACACTGGGCATTTCTGCATGCCTCTCTGTCTATATTTGCTGAAGGCTCCAGCCTGCTGTGAACTGGCAGCAGGAGCCCAGGGGTTCTTACACCTTTATTTTCAGATTGAACACCTTTATCTTTGGAAGGAGTCATGGTGGCACAGTAGCTAAAGTGCTTGGCTAGTAAGTGAAAGGTCAGCGGTTTGAGCCCACTGGGTGCTCTGCAGGAGAAAGATGTGGCAATTTGCTTCTGTAAAGATTCCAACCTTAGAAACTGTGGGGCAGTTCTGCTCTGTCCTGCAGGGTCGCTATTGAGTCAGAATCGACTTTTCGACAGTGAGACTTGGTTTTATCTTTGGACCTGAGCAGACTTGAGGGGGAGGTTCAGTGTGGAGTTAAAAACTGACCCTTGTGCTGGCTGGAACTTCTCATAGTGTAGGTTTTGGAGTTGATGCTGGCTTTGCAGCTTTCTGGGCCTGGGTCAGAACTCCTGAAGTCAGCCAGTCAAGTTCATATGCTTAGTTGCTGTGTGACCTTGGACAAGTTATTGAGCCTCTCTGGTTTTGTTTCCCTGTTTCAGAGGCTCTATGAGTAAATGTGGAGTCTCTGGGTGGTGTGAACAGTTAGTGTGTTTGGCTGCTAACTGAATGGTTGGAGGTTCACGTCCATTCAGAGGCACCTTGGAAGAAAAGCCTGATGATCTGTTTTCAAAAATCAATGATTGAAAACCCTGTGGAGCACAGTTCTACCCTGACATATGTGGGGTCACCGTGAATCAGAGTCAACTTGATAGCAGCTTGGGTTTTTTTTTTTTTTTTTTTTTTAATGGCTCTGTAAATGCTTGGAACAGTACCTGGCAGATACTTGCTGAAATATCAAGTTAATAAAAAAATCTTACCTTGACCTTGCTTAAAACAAAGGTGGATCTTTAACCGTATTCTCTCTTTTCTCTCCTGAAGCACTTAGTTGGTCGGCTAATTGGCAAGCAGGGGCGGTATGTGAGTTTTCTGAAGCAAACATCTGGTGCCAAGATCTACATTTCAACCTTGCCCTACACCCAGAACATCCAGATCTGCCACATAGAAGGTCAGTGGTCACTGTTGTGCTGTGTTTAGTTTTCTTACCTAAAATTCACATAAATGAAAGCATTTGAGCCCCAAGTGCTAGGAGTCTAAGCCTCTGAAGAGAAAGCCTTGCTTCTCATCCCAGGTGAAGGGTGAGTTAGGTGCATCCCTTCAGTTCTCTTACCTATTCACTTGCTTGGAGGAGACTCAAATCCCCTCCCCACCAGGTCTGCTGGGCAGGAGAGAAGCAAGCCCTTGGATAGGTGGGGCAGGGGTCCTGGATTGCCAGTGCCTGCTCCTGACACGGCCCCTCACAGAGCAGAAGGACCGCGCGTGAGTCCCCTCTGTGGTCGGCGAGGACCAGCCTTCTCTCCTGGCTAGCCTTTTGTACACTCAAACCACAGACCCTAGTGGCACAGGGATCATCTGAAAGGTGATCAGGTGTTTGAGCTTCTTTAGATGCCTTTTTTCTAAGGCATAGCTGAGCATTTTGTGCCCTGGAAACGGCTCTTGAACTCTAGGACAGGTTGTGCGCGCGCGCGCGTGTGTGTGTGTTGAGGGAGGAGCTTAGTGAGTTTGTTTTGCTCTGAAGTTTCTTTCACCCATGGTGATTACCCTGCCCACATCCCTAACCCCACAATTCTTCTTCCTCCATTTAGGATCTCAGCATCATGTGGACAAAGCGCTGAACTTGATTGGGAAGAAGTTCAAAGAGCTGAACCTCACCAATATCTACGCGCCCCCACTGCCTTCACTGGCACTGCCTTCTCTACCAATGACCTCCTGGGTGAGCATGGCCCCAGTGTCATCAGGGCTTCTCATGCCCCTGCCCTCCAAACCCAACTCAGCAAGAAACTCCTAAGACTATGGGTCAAGAAGGCCAACTGCACGTTCACCACTGCTGTGCCCTCTCACCTCTGGCCTCCAATGGTCAGTTCTGCCAACAGCCTGGGGGTGGGGAGTGCAGTGCTGGGTGGGTCCCTTTGAAAGGGTGACTTTTCCCAGCTCTGCTGCCTGGACCGCCTTTGCATTTTCTAGACATTTGCCTGGAAAGGATTCTGTCCAGCCAGGAGACCATGTGTCCAGACTGGCTTGGGGCTGCTGTTTATCCAGGTTCACCACCTAGGTGGGACCCACCAGAGTGGGCTTGGGTGGGGCTTGTGATGCGTCGGTCCTGTTCCTTTTTCCCAGTCAAGCCGGGCCTCATAGTGGCACTGGTGAAGGATTTCCTTCCCCCTCCCCCTCCCCAGGAGATACCTAGGTTGTAAAGAAGAGCACATCCCCCCTCACACCACCACCAGGCCCAGGAAGCAGGGTGGCTCTTTGGAGGTTACCCAGGGTGGGGTGGAAGTTGACATCTTGAGGGCCCCCATGTTTTGGACCCTGCAGGATGCTGGGCACTGGTTGGACCTCGTCTCACTGCGAATAGAATTGCAAGCAAGGCTCTGGGGCCCAAAGACAATTGCATTTCATACAAATGGGCTGAATGCCCTGCTCCAAGAAAACCACTCTCCTGGAGTTTGTTTAAGTTGGGTATTCTCCTCCCACTCCAGACCCTTGTACCATAGGGGAGGGCTGGACTGTCCCCTTCCTGCCTGTGGCTGTTTGGAAGTGGACTGAACCCCATTCCACGCTTCACTCCTGAGATTATGTGGAAGTTTTTTTCCCAGGAGGCTCTAGTTCTACTCTTGAGTTTTTAAAAGTGAGCGTTTAGTATGGGTTCCTTCCCTTGTACTCTGCTGGGCTTTCTGGGACTGGAGAGGAGGGCCCAGATGCTGTCCACCAGCAGGGCTGGGAAGGCTGTGCTGGTTCTTGTGCTCTTAGCAGAGGCTCTTCTCTCTGTGGCTACTGGCTGGAAGGTGGAATAGACGCCCTACCCTGTCCACAGCTCCTAGCTGTTACTGGTAGCTTGGCATCCAGAAATCTAATGTCTAAGGACAGTCCTTTAGAGAACAATGTTGGCTTCTTCCTGGGGCCAACCACTGAGCATATCTTTATTCCAAATCCCAAAGGGACAGTGAGTTGGGGGTGATGTCTGGAGCTTAGAGAAGAGGAGCAGGACTTAGGGGACAGAAGGGAAGCAAGCAGTAGGAAGAAGAGCAAGTATGACACAGACTGTTGCTTGCCTACCCTCATTCTCTGACCCCTTGTTCTCAGTGACCACCTAATTCACATTTACCCTCCCTGGGTCTTACAGACTCATCAAGAAAGGTGGGAGGGAGGGGCAGCTTTGGACGGACCCTGGCCAAGCCAGCATGAGACCCAACACTGCATCCACCCCTGGCTCCTGAGTGCTGGGTATCTGCTGGGAGCCTCTCTGCCCGGCCCTGAGGTGAGGATGCCTCTAATGGTTACTCATGGTATTGCAGGACAAGGGCCACAATGGTGTCAAACCCTTTCACATTCAGAGTAGATTTCCTTGAGGTTTTGTCACCTGGGTGCCGTGTTGTTTTGGGTTGCCATGCCTTTTTCAAAAATGAACTAGCTCAGAGTCTGGCCCTGGAGCCCCAGAGCTGATTGCACCCCTGGGCAGAGAAGGGTTGTTAACAGCAGCTCCTTTGCCTTCCCCGTCCTCTTCACAGCTCATGCTCCCCAATGGCATCACTGTGGAGGTGATCGTGGTCAATCAGGTCAATGCCGGGCACCTGTTTGTGCAGCAGCACACACATCCTACCTTCCATGCGCTGCGCAGTCTGGACCAACAGATGTACCTCTGCTACTCTCAGCCCGGGACCCCCACCTTGCCCACTCCAGTAGAAAGTAAGTGCTCTTTGGGGGCCTGGGCTGGGGGCAGCCCTGAGACATGGGCTCTGGCCAGGCTAGGGGAGAAGGTCTGGGGGTTGCCTGTTCTGCCCTTGATCTTGAACTGAAGGAGACTCTTCTGGATCCTTCATGGACACAGCTTCCCCTGGATTTTTGCCATTGGTATAGAGTCATGCTGGCTGAATTTCCTCTCTAGCCAAAGCCAGTGTTTTTACTGGCTTATGGGGTGGTGGGATTGGAGTGGAATCTTGACACTTGAATTGAGAAACCAGCTCTGCTACTTAATACCTCCACAAGTTAAGTGGAGTTGGTACCCACTTGCCCCAGGAAGTAAGGTTTTTATTACATGTAAAGCATTTGATTCATGTGCGGTTATATTCCCACCTGCTTCCTATCAAAGTTTTCTAAACCCACCAAACCTATACAGTGGGTTGGGTCATCTCCACTTGACAGATGAGAAAACTGAGCCTCTGAAGCCAAGTGACTAGCCCAAGTGATACCTGAGCAGGTGCCGGGATCCAGACCCAGGTCAAATCCAGAGCCCATCCTCTGCTGCTGTTACCTGTGTGCCCTGTCAATGGGGATTGAGTATTATACCGTCTTTTCATCCTCCCCCATCAGGAGTCTTGGCTTTTTACCTGGAGCCCCTTGATGAGCTTCAGGGCATCAGAAAAAATCTCTTAAAATTCTATGTAGCGTTTTGTATGGTTTTTCTTTTGGAGGAATAAGGATTTAGTTTTCATCGGATTCTCTAAGACCACCTCAACCCAGTAGTAAAGACGGAACTGGAGGGCAAGAGAGGGTTGTACCAGGGGCCCTGCTTAGGGATGCGCAACCAGTGTGTTCAGCCCTGTGTCACAGGCCCTTGTCTCAGCAGGCCTGGGGCAGTGGCTAGGGGTGACCTTTACCCATATTTTCATCTGCCATCGTCTCTCCTGCCATAGCATGTGGGTTGGTGACCCTTTGGGGCACTTGCACTCTGGCCTTGGCTGCTCAAGCTTCAGTGCAGTGCTCTTGGCACCTTCCTGAGGCTAATGCTGGAGGGGAGTGTAGGCCTCAGGGTCCCCTCTGTCAGTCCCTCCATCTGAGTTGTCATGGGCTAAAGCAGGCCTTAGATGCCAGGCCACTGAGATCTACTACCCTTCCAGGTTCTTGATTGTTTCAGGGATTTCCTTGTAACAATGTAGGGCTGGCCCTATCCCCATTCCCCAGGTTTTCTATTTTGTTCCTGTTTCATCTATAGCTACTTCAGGCTTCCATAAGTTTCAGAGTATAAATGGATCCAGATTGTGTGCTTCTTGGTTTGGATAGCTTTGGGGGTGCCATACATGCCAGGCTGAAGGTCCCATGCCCAGGTCTCCCATTGGCTAGTCCTAGGCTCTGGGAGGCTATGTGGGGACTCACTGTTTTTCCTACCCTCTGCCCCAAGGAGGTGCAGGCCTCTGAGAAGGAATATGGATGGGGGGGGGGGAGTAGCAGTAATCATGCAGGCCAGATGTGTCAACACACTTCTCTTCCTGTCCTGCAGTAGCGGTGATCTGCGCTGCTCCTGGTGCAGACGGTGCCTGGTGGCGAGCCCAGGTGGTTGCCTCCTACGAGGAGACCAGTGAAGTCGAGATTCGCTATGTGGACTATGGTGGATATAAGCGGGTGAAGGTAGATGTGCTCCGGCAAATCAGGTGAGCCGAGACTCCCCAGGCAGACAGGCAGGCTGGCTGGCTAACGGCAGGCCTAGCTTGCTGTAGAATGTGTGATTCCTGCACAGCTGCTCTGTGCTGTGTCACCAAGCCTGGGGAATGGACTTTTTTTCCTTCCTGCTGTCTGCTCGCTGCTGAGTCTGATACAAACAAACTTGAATTGCTTTCTTTAGCAGAAATGAACTATGTAGAAAAGCCTATCTTGTGAAAGAGTATCCCCAGTATCCCATGTCAAAGGAGAGGGCTCCTTTTTGGGAATTTGATGAAGGAAATTGCTCTTAGGTCCAGCTTACAGGCAGGGGACCCCTCTCCTTGGTAAGTCCCCCCTCCTGAGTGGGTGTGCTGTACCTGTCCTGCATTGTAGTTGCCACTGTGCTAAGTGAAAGATAGATACCAGCCTGGAGTGGGGTCATTAAGTCCATGTTAAACTGCTCCCTTCTTGCCTTCACAGGTCAGACTTTGTGACTCTCCCGTTCCAGGGAGCAGAAGTCCTTCTGGACAGTGTGATGCCCCTGTCAGGTAACAGGTGGGGCCTCTGATGGGGATGGGTTGAGGGCAGGTCTTCCTATTTTGCGCCAGTGATTCTTATTTTTTGTAAACACAGACTACTCACATTCTGAGTTTCTGATTGAGTAGGGCAGGTGGGCCTGAGAACTTGCATTTCTAACCAGCTTCCAGGTGATGCTGATGTTGCTGGTCCCAGGACCACCCATTAAGGACCACTGCTATAGACTTCACATGTGTCTCCAACTTCGAGATGCTCCTAAAATAAAGGCACTTTCCAGAACAGTTAAGACCCAGTGTCTTAGCAGCTATAGTTGAGGTCAAGCACTGAGGTTCTGTTCTGAGCTCTGCTCAGGTGGATCACAGCTCCTTTGGGACATGGGTAGCGACCATGTGAACACCATGTCCAGGGTTCCAGACTGTGATAGTATTGCTGGAAGAGGCCTGTTGTTGTTAGGTGCTGTCGAGTCAGTTCTGACTCCTAGTGACCTGTGTACAACAGAACAAAACATTGCCTGGTCCTGTGCCGTCCTCACAGTTGTTGCTACGCTTGAGTCTGTTGTTGCCACCACTGTGTTAAGCCTTCTCACTGACGGTCTTTGTCTTTTTCTCTGACCCATTACCTTACCAAGCATCATGTCCTTCTCTTGCGACTGGTGCTGTCTGATAACATGTCCCAAGTCCATGAGGTAGTCTTGCCATCCACACTTGTAAGGAACATTCTGGCTGTACTTCTTCCAAGATAGATTTGTTTGTTCTTCTGGAAATCCATAGTACTCTGGTATTCTTCAAAGAAGATTATAATTCAAAGGCACCAATTATTCTTTGGTCTTCCTTATTGACTGTCCAGCTTTCTCCTGCATAAGAGCAATTGAAAATACCATGGATTGGGTTGCGCACCTTAGTATTCAAAGTGGCTTCTTTGCTTTTTAACACTTTAAAAACAATTTTGGAGCAGAATTGCAGTATTTGTCTGATTTCTTGACTGCTGCTTCCATGGGTGTTGATTGTGGATCTAAGTAAAGTAAAATCCTTGACAGCTTCAGTCTTTTCTCCATTTATTGTGATGTGGCTTATTGGGCCAGTGTGAGGAAACTTGTTTTCTGTATGTTGAGGTGTAATCCACATTGACGGCTGTAGTCTTTGATGTTCGTCAGTAAGTGCTTCAGGTCATCTTCCCCTTCAGCCAGCAAGGTTGTGTCATCTGACTTTTGCATCTTCCTCTAGTCCTGATGCTGCACTCTTCATATACTCTAGCTTCTTGGACTGTTTGCTCAGCATCCAGATTGAATAAGTGTAGTGAAAAGATAGAATCCTGACACACATCTTTCCTGATTTTAAAACCATGTGGCACTCCCTTGTTCTGTTCCAAAGACTGCCTCTTGATCTATGTACAGATTCCTCATGAGCATAATTAAGTGTTCTGGAATTTCCATTCTTTGCATCTTTACCCATGATTTGTTATGATCCACACAGTCAAATGCCTCTGACACAGTTAAACATCTTTCTGGTATTCTCTGCTTTCAGCCAAGATCCATCTGACATCAGCCTCGATAATCCCTCATCCCATGTCCTCCTCTGAATCTGGCTTGAATTTTTGGCAGTTTTCTGTTGGTGTATTGCTGCAGCTATTTTTTAATTATCTTGAGCAAAATTGTACTTGAGTGTGATATTAGTAATATTATTTGATAATTTTCACATTCTGTTGGATCAGTTTTCTTTGGAATAGGCACAAATATGGATCACTTCCAATCATTTGGCCAGGTAATATTTTCCAAATTTCTTGGCATAGAAAGTGTATGATTCCTGCATTGAATCTGTTTGTTGAACCATCTCAGTTGGTACTCTGTTAATTCCTGGAGCCTTGTTTTTCACCAATACCTTCAGTGCCCCTTAGACGTTTTCTTTCAATAACATCAGTTTCTTGATCAATTGCTACTTCCTGAAATGGTTGAACATTGACTAATTTTTTTTTAAATGCATTTTATTGAAATATAATTTATGTACAGTGAAATACACAAAACTAAACTGACAAAAGTCAATGCTTTTTTTTGTTTGCAGTGTCCCCTCCCCTCCTCTCCCACCTCAGTAAGGGAAAGTTCCCTTCCATATATAAACTTTTCTTTGACTTTTTACAATAATGAGCTAGTACAATATTTGTCTTTCTGTAATTGACTTCTTTCACTTAGCATAATGCCCTCCAAATTCATCCATGTGTGGGGTTTTGTAGATTCTACATTATTTTTTAGGGTTGCATAGTATTCCATTGAGTGTATGTACCACAGTTTGGTTATCTGTTCTTCTGTTGATGTGTACGTTGGTTGTTTCCATCTTTTTGCTATTGTAAATAGTGCTGCAACACACATGGGTGTGCATATGTCTGTTCTTGTCCTGGCTCTCATTTCTTTAGGGACATATGCCTAGTAATGGGATTGCTGGGTCAAATGGTATTTCTAATTCCAGCTTTTTAAGGAATCACCATACTGTTTTCCACAGTGCTTGTATCATTTTACAGCCCCACCAGCAGTGTATGAGAGTCCCAGTCTCTCCACATCCTAGCCAGCATCTGCCATTTTCTGTGTTGTTGAACTTTGCTGTTAGTGCTGGGGTGAGATGGTATCTCGTTGTTTTGGTTTGCATCTCTCTGATGGCCATTTCTTCATGTATTTGCTGGTAGCCAGAATATCTTCTTTGGTTCATTCATGTTCATTCATGTCTTCTGCCCATTTTTTAATTGGATTGTTAATTTTTCTATTGTTGAGGTGTTGGAGTTTTCTATAAATTTAAGAGATAAGTCCCTTGTCAGATATGTAATTATTGACACATATGAATTTGTTGCTGTCATTTTGTTATGTGCTTTTTCGTGGTGCTGATTTCTTTGTTCCATTTAATTTTCTGTGGCGAGCTCGTTTTGTTTATGAATCATGTTACTACTTCCTTCGTTGCTATTGTTTTAGTATTTGCTAAATATTTGTACTGGTCATCTTTTTAATTTTGAGATGAAGGTTTATCATCTTTCTTTGAGGTTACCCTGTGATTTATAATTTCTTCCCAAGTTTAGAACAGTCCGTCCTACCTTGTAGTTGTCTTAACTTCCCTACCATTTAGAAGTTCTGTAACTACACAGTTTTTTTTCCCCTCTTTTTGGTTTGTAGTTGTCTTCGTTCGTCAATTGATATCTCTGGTTCCCTGTTTACAATCTTGTAGGCTTATTTACTTTGGATATTTTTATAACTGGGTTGGTTTCTAGGTTATGTCATCATGTATGTTAATGGTCAGTTGTTTGTTGTTGTTAATTCTCTGTCCAAAGGACTCCCTTTAGTATCTCTTGTAAGGTCGGTCTGGTTTTAACAAATTCCCTTAATTTCTGCTTATCTAGAAATGTCCTAATTTCACCATCATATTTGAGGGACAATTTTGCTGGGTACATAATTCTTGGTTGGAAATGTTTCTCTTTCAGGGTTTTATATATACCATCCCATTGTCTTCTCACCTACATGGTTTCTGTCAAGAAATCCGAGCTTAGTCTTACTGATTGCCCCTTGTAGGTAACTTTTCATTTTTCCCATGCTGGTCATGATTCTTTCTTTGTCTTTGGTTTTGGTGAGTCTGATGATGATAAGTCTGGGTGCTTTTCTTTAGGGTCTATCCTGTTTGGGGTTCGTTGGATTTCTTGATTGGATATATTCGCATCTTTTATTATACGACCAATTCTTTTTGGTACACTGACTGTATTCTTTCTATCTACTTTTGATGCTTCCTGCATCATTCAGTATTTTGCCCGTAGAGTCCATAGTATTGAAACTTTAGGCTTGAATTTTTTTTTTTCATTTCTTTCAGCTTAAAATATACTGAGTGTGTTCTTTCATTTTGGTTTTTTAACTCCAGGTCTTTACACATTTCACTATAATACTTTCCTTTGTCGTCTTCAGCTGCCCTTTGAAGCCTTCTGTTCAGCTTGTTTTACATCATAATTTCTTCCTTTCACTTTAGCTAGTCTACATTCAAGAACAAGTTTCAGAGTCTCTTCTGACATCAAGTTTGGTCTTTTCTTTCTTTTTATAATGGCGTTTTGATTTCTTCATGTGTAATGTCCTTGATGTCATCCTGCAGCTTGTCTGGTGTATAGTGTAGTAGTCAGTGTGTTAAATCTTTTCTTGGATGGTCTCTAAATTCAGGGTCATAATTTGGCTCTCATGGATTTGTTTTAATTTTCTTCAGCTTCAATTTGAACTTGCATGTTAGCAGTTGATGCTCTATTCCACGTTCGGCCCCTTGCCTTGTTCTCACTGATGATATAGTAATGAATAAGTTGTTGGTCTTGCAGAATTCTGTCCTGTGATTTCCAGCATAATTTCTATCAACAAGGCCATATTTTCCAACTACTGATACTTCTTTGTTTACTTCTTTCACATTCCAATCATCAGTAATTATCAATGCATCCTAATTACATGTTTGATCAATTTCAGACTGAAGTCGGTAAAAATCTTCATTTTCTCATCTTTGGCATTAGTATTTAGTGCATAAATTTGAGTTAATAGTCTTATTAACTAGTTTTCCTTACAGGGACATGGTATTATCCCATCACTGATATGTTGTTCTTCAGGATAGATCTTAAAATGTTCTTTTTGACATTGAATGCAATACCTTTCCTCTTTAATTTTTCATTCCTGACATAGTAGACCATATGATTGTCTGATTCAAAATGGCCAACATCAGTCTATTTCAGCTCACTTAGGTCTAGGATGTCAATCTTTATGCATTCCACGTTGTGATTATTAATGGATGTTTACAGCTATTTCTTCTCATTTTGAGTTGTGCCATATCAGCAAATGTAGGTCCTGAAAGCTTTACTCCATCCACGTCATTAAGATCGACTGTCCTTTGAGGTGGCAACTGTTCTTCAGTCACAGTTGGAGCACCTTTCAAACTGAGAGATCATCTTTTGACATTATATCAGACAGGTTTTCACAGTCAGTTTCCTTTTGGAAGTAGATTTCTAGGTCCTCCCTCCTAGTCTGTCTTAGTCAGGATGCTCCACTGAAACCTGTCCACCGTGGTGACTCTGCTGGTATTTGAAGTATCAGTGCCATAGCTTCCAGCATCCCAGCAACACATGAGCTGCCGTGTTATGACAAACTGACAGACTAGTGGTGAGCATATTACTTGGCCTCAGTTTCCCTCTCTGGAAAATGGGGATGGTACCTACATTATTTTCAAGGTCTCTGGGTGGCACAGACGGATTGCAGTCGACTGCTGACCTAAAGGTTGGTGGTTAGAACCCACGCAGCAGCACCATGAAAGAAAGGCCCGGTATTCTGCTTCAACAGAGATGGCAGCCAAGAAAACTCTGTGGAGTGGTTCTACTCTGTAACACATGGGGTCTATATGAGTGCAAATCAACTTGGTGCCAGTAGGTTTTTTGTTGTTGTTAGGCTATCTTTCAGGATAGCTATAAAAATACATAAATTTAGGAACCGGTATGTAGAAGATGATCGACAAGTAGCAGCCATAGGAATTTTGTATTTGTAGGTGTAGTTTGTTCATTCCACCTCTGTCTCCCCAGGTTTGCCCTTTCTCATCTTTTTGGTTGTCAAAGTGATTAAGTGCATGAGAGACACTACAGTCTATCTGGAGTCTCATCAGAGAGAAACCGGGGCATGGCCCACATTTGGTTTTCCTTTATTGCCCAACCTTCCTCTTCATGGTCTATCCATCTTAACAATCCATCCAAGCTGAGCTAAAATACTCTGTAAGACTTTCCCAGACTGTCTTCAACGCCTGCCTCTTCCTCCCTCACCATCTCTTGCCTTGGGTGTGTTCTTGTACATAACTTTATGACACCCCACATAGCAGCATGCTGCCTCCACTGCCCTGCCTACTCTCTAGTGACTGCCCATGTTGGGCTGTGGGGCCCATTCCTTAGGCTCGAATTTTCCCTCCACCACTCTGAAAGCTGATTGACCTTGGGTGATCAACCTTTGTTGCAAGTGTTCTCACCTATAAAAGGAGTGTCACGCTTATGTCATCTCATATTGTGGAATGACCCATACAGTGTGCTCACCTGTAAAAGGAAGCTAACACTTATGTCATCTTGTAGTGCTCAGCGCAGGTAGCACCCAAGCATGTAGTGGTAGTAACATTTCCATTGCCTCATTGCCTCATGAAGCCTGGGTTTGTGTCCCTTTTGTTCCTCTGTCCCCCAGTGGGTAGCAAGCAGGAGGGACCCTGAGTTTACTCAGTTGGAGTCATGTGGAGGCCTGAGCTCTGTACTTTGACAGGTAACTCTCCCAAATGAAGTTCTCAGGTCCCACTGCAAGGTCTGAAGATTCTACCTGGAATATGTCTGAACGTTGTGTAGGGGATGAGAATGCCTTGTCCTGGTGAAAGTCTAAATGCTGCTTTTTCTTCTAAAGATGATGAGCACTTCTCACCTGAAGCAGATGCAGCTATGAGCGAGATGACCGGAAACACAGCCCTGCTTGCTCAGGTGGGTGGGCTGGGTGGGGTCTGCCTGAGGAGCCTCCTGCTTCACTTCCTCAGTGCCTCCCTTTGCTTTGCTTGTTTAGTATCTGGGCTTCTTGGAGCGGACCTCCCTGCTGCTAGGGCCCTGGGTTCAGCTTCTTTAGGGACATGGCGCATGAGCTTCCCCAGCTTTAAAACATGCTTGGTGACGGGTTGGGTTGTTTGTTTTTTCCCCCATCCTCTAGGTGACAAGTTACAGTTCAACTGGCCTCCCTCTGATTCAGCTGTGGAGTGTGGTTGGAGATGAAGTAAGTTCTGTTTCTTTTTCCTCCTGAGGTACTGATGAGTAGTACAGAGTTGATTGGAATCTGGTCCTGGCATTGGTACTTGACCTAATAAGAGGATGTGACTATAGACCCATGCCCCCCAGTGGATGTTTGGCAATGTCTAGACACAGTTTTGGTTGTCACAACTGGGGAGGTGTTAGTGGCATCCTACTGGGTAAAGGCCAGGGATGCTACGACATATCCTACAGTGCAAAGGACAGCCACGTGCTGCAAAGAATGGTCCAACCCAAAATGTCAGTGGTGCTGGGGGTGAGAAACTCTGCTACTAGACCTTCCTGGGCCTTCTTTCCGTCACATTTTTCTATCCTTCGTAGCTTGGATTTCTTCAGCATATTGAAAAGCCCGTCCTCATGTCAAAGTGGCCAAAAGAACATTTAAGTAAATAACCTTGCTCGCCCAGAAAAATGAGTCATGCCCACCCCACCCTGGTTACCCTTGTAAGCCTGTAGTTAGTGATACCTGTCAGGAATTGTAAGACTAACACCCCATGTTGGCTTGAGGATTTGCCCCAGGTGCCATGGGCAAAGCTCTCAAGGGGACTCTCTCTTCTAGGTGGTGTTGATAAACCGGTGGCTGGTGGAGAGAGGACTTGCGCAGTGGGTAGACAGCAGCTACACAAGCCTTTGACCTCACTCCCCAAACAGCTGCTGTTGGAGTCTTTTTTGCACTGTTAAGATTGAGCTTGGCACTCAAGGCAAAGACTTTACATCAGAATAACAAAATGTCCTCCCCAGGAAGTCTTTTTTTTCTTTTTCCCCATACCATAGTCCTATACTGAGAAGACATTTGATCTCTAAGAAAAGGAGAGAACTCTGTTCTTTTCACAGCCATAAGATGGTGTTTGACAAGCCAGTTGGCTTAACCTGTTTCTAAACTCCTGAAAAAAAAAAAAAAAAAAAGTTGAAGAACAACCTCAGCTTGGTTGTTCTGTTCCTCCACCATCCAGCCTTCCATTCTCCCCTTCTTCCTTCCACCCCCTCCCCCCTGAAAAAGAAAAAGCCGACCAACCAACCAATCGGTGGTATTTTTGCTCTTGGCAGAGGCAAAGCAATGTGTGTTGCTTGCTCGGCAGGGTTTCTTTTACTTCAGAACCTTGCTTCTGCCTTCAGGGAGCAAGACATGAACTGTGGATGATTGATATCAATTACTATGTAGCTTCATGTAAATGAACTATAGCCTTTAATCATCTTTTATAAACTTGATCTAGACCTCTGGGAACACAAAGTTTTTTAATGGAGGTGTAAATAGGATGTAATCATTACACCTCCAGCCTTGATCTCTGGGGGGAAGAGGGTCGACCTGTTATCCTGCCAAGCCTGGTTGTAATTTGTAACCATTTTCTATCTGTGCAAACTCTGTAAATATATGTTTAAAAAAAATGGAATATTTTGTACACGATGCACTGGAGAACAAAGGGAACTCAAGATTCTTCCACACTGACGTCATGTGTAAGTAGAACTCTGCTGAGGACGGCTGTCATCCCAGCTGCTCCCCTGCTCCTCTCCCGCAGGCTCCCTGCGGACCGGATGCTGTGGCTGTATGGCATAGAATTGTGACTGAGGAATTTTCTGCTGTACAAATTTGTAAAAATGCAACTCATTGAATTACCTTGCAGTGGTGTTTGTGATTCTTTTTTTTTAGACTGGCTTCAGCGTTGTGCAATTAAAAAATAAGTAACTTCTATAACTTATATAAATCTTGGATTATATAAACTATAGCTTTGCGTCCATTTCTTCAGTGGCAAAAAAGATGAGAGTATAAGGGATAGTTGTTTGTGTCGTGGTGCACACACGTGCCTCCAAACAGCAACATCTAAAGAGGAGACCCATGGCTTTTGGAAAACAGTTTGGCCAGAAATTTCCGTCTGACCTTTTTTCCCATCCTTTCTCCACCAGGTGGCAGCCGAACCTCCTCTGGTTTCCCTCAAAATAGCCAGACTTAAAGCATTGATTGGCTTCCAGGATTCTTTGTGCATTCTTAATATATCTGTTACTTAATCTACTTTCATGGGTGGAAAGATATATGAATGCATACATTTAAATGATGAGGGCAGATACTGAGTCTTGAATTAATGGCCCCTCCTACTAAAGGTAGGCTCAGAGCTCCACAGCCCCTTCCCTCAGTTTGGTCTTGGCCTCAAGTGCTGTGGGCTTGCCCATCCCTCCAGGTGTTACTGAGAAGCTTGTCAGCACCGGTGTTTAGAAAGCTGAGACAGCCTGATGATCCCATAAGCCTGCTGCCCTTGAAGCTTCTCCTATCTCAACCAAGCAGCCTCTGTTACCTGTTGGATTCTTATCACTGTGCCCAAAGGTTGAGGCTTCTCTTTGGAGTCTGACGTGGGAGGTGGACATCTTCTGCTTGGGCCCTGGAACTCTCACCTATGTGGTTAACATGGTTGGAAGCTTCAGTTCCTCATCTGTAAAGTCACATAATAATACCTACCTCATAAGGCAGTTGAATGAAATCACAACTGCCCCTGCTTGTGCAGAGCTTGGCCCACAGTGAGTTCTCCTGTAGTCTTAGCTGTCATGAGCACTAAGTGTCAGCAGTCCATGGGTGTGACTTTGAACAAGTCATTTTGCACCCAGATACTTCTGTACAACTCAGCTCTACTGGTGCATGGAAGGGTTTGTGGGAGATTCGCAAGGTAGTTCAGGTCTGCAAGAGCTGGTATACAGATTGGCCTTATCTCTAGGGAGTTACTGATGGCTTTTTCAATGTTTTCTTTAATTGTAGTAAAATATATACAACATAAAATTTGCCACGTAAGCATTGTTAGGTGCACGAGTCGGGTATTAATTATATTCACTATGTAGTGCAACCATCTCTTCTGTTTCTTTCCAAAATGCTTCCATCACCACAAATAGACACTGTCCCATTAAGCAATAACTACTCCCTCCCTCCAACCCCTGGTAACCTCTAATCTGCTTTCTGTCTGTGCATTCACCTATTGTAGCTATTGCATCTAAACGGGGTCATTTGTATTTGTCCCTTTGTGTCTGGCTTATTTCACATAGCATAGTGGTTTCAAGGCTTGTCTGTTTGTAACTTGTATCAGGACTTCATTTCTTTCGATGGGTGAGCAGTATTCCATTGTTTACCTCCTCATCTGTGAATGGACACTCAGGTGGTTTCTGCATTTTGGCTGTTGTACTATTGCTGCAGTGAACACGTGTACAAGTATCTGTTTGAATCCCTGCTTCCAAGTCTCTTGGGTATATACACAGGAGTGTTTAACTTTTTCAGGAACCTTCAAACTTTTCCACAGTGGCTGCACCATTTTACAGTCTAATCACCAGCAGTATACAAAAGTTCCAGTTACTCCATGTCCTCACCAATGCTTTTATGTGTATATAACAGCCATCCTCGTGGGGGTGAAGCACCTCATTGATGGGTTTTAAACAGAGGTAATGACATGAATGTGGTATAAGAAGGAGGATGGACGAGGGGGAGGATTAGAGACTGAAGCCAGGATAGTTCAGGCAAGATAAATGGGCCTCTTCCAGGATGGTGCCTTGGAGGTGGTGGACAGGATGCGACGGAGTCAGGACCCTTAAGTAAAGCTGACCGGACTTGAGGGTGCCTTGTGGTGCGGATAAGAAAGATGGGTTGTGGTCGCACTGTCGGATCTCTCCCATAAGAGCCTTCATCTGCAAAGGTGGGTCCATTAAGCACGAATTGGTATACAAACCAAACGAAACCCAACCCACTGCCATCGGGTCGATGCCGAGTCATAGCAACTCTATAAGGATGGAACAGAACTGCCCCACAGGTTTCCAAGGCTGTAAATGTTGACGAAAGTAGACTGCCACGTCTTTGCCCCACAGAGTGGCTGGTGGGTTTGAACCACCGACCTTTTGGTTAACAGCTGAGGACTTTAACTATTGCACCACCAGGACTCCTGTTGATGTCATATATGGTAGGGAAAACAAGTTTGAGGTTGGTGAAGGACAAGTACATTTTGAATAAACAGATTGTTGCAAACCTTGGTTAATTTCCAGAGGACTGAAAAAGTTGATTTTGACCATTTTACCGGTATTTTTGGTACTTTTATGAGGGACTAGATTTAGAGAGTCTTGCTTTGTAGTTCTGGAAGTCAGCCTTTCAGGCCCAAGTACATTTTGGACGTGTTCTTTGAATTAGCTGTGGGCCATCCAGGAGCCATCTTAAGCATGAATTGAAAATTCAAGGAGAGGCTGGTGCTGGAGACAGATTTGGGGATGTCAGCCTTCTGACGGGTGAGGGGGACAGAAGAGTAATGCTGGATGCCAAAGCTAGGGCTACCAGCCTCTTCTCACTTCAGGTGTTTTGTGTCCTTAGGAGCCCTGTTGGGTATGAGGGGAATGGTGGAGTTGTTGTGGTGTATCACTATGGATGCTGGGTTCTGGGATTACCGCTACACCTTGTACCACATCAGGTATGTCACTTATACAGGAATTAACCTCTATAAAATGTCAGTCCCAACCATCTCAGGTATGTTGTTGTTATTTGCCATCAAGTCAGACCTGACTCATATCAGCCCCTCCTTGGGTTTCCAAGGCAGTATCACTATGGAAGTAGATTGCCCAACCTTCCCTCTGTGGAGTGGCTGGTGGGTTTGAACTGCCAGCCTTCTGGTTAGCAGTCAAGTGCCTTAGGCACTATGCTACCAGAGCTCCTGTCTCAGGTGTAAGAGGCTAAAAGAAGATTAGTAGCTAGTAATGGACAGCTTACTATGTGTCACTCATTGTTAAGTGACTTAAACAGATGATGCTTAATCCTCGTGACAGCCTAGAAGGGAGGGATTATTATTTATTTATTTTGGAGAATATGCACAGCAGAACACACATCAGCTCTACACGTGCGATGTCTACATAAGCAATTCAGTGGCACTGGTCACTTCTTCAGGTTGCGCAACCATTTCTACTCATCTTTTCCAAGTTATTCCTCCCTCATTAACATAAACTCACTGCCTCCTGAGTTTCCCATCTTATCTTTCAAGTTGCTGTTGTCAGTTTGATCCCATACAGATAGTTACTAAAGAAGCATAATAGTCAAGGCAGACTTTTTTTTTTTTTTTTTAACTGTGATTTGGGTGAAAGTGTACAGAGAAAATACACTTTCCATACAGCAGCGAGCATACACTTTGTCTCACAACATTGACTACAATTTGCCACAAATGCAACAGCTCCCCTCCCACTTCCTCCCCATAGTTACCACTTCCCAGTGTCCATCCCTCCATACTCTTCTGCACCCTGAACTGTTTCCCTGTACATATATAGCCCTTCTATTCTCCCATGACTCTTCTCTCCAAGGAGTGTGTATCTACCTAATGTAAATGTTCAGCTCATATGTTTGTCTTTTGTTTGGCTGGAAGCCACAGGAATGGGTTCAGTTCCAGACCTGAAGGGCAGCTAGGGGCCATAATCTCAGTTGTTCCACCAGGCTCTATCAGACCAGCAAACCTGGTCACTTTTTTTTTTTTTTTTTTTTTAATGATTTTGAGTTTTGTTCCACATTGTTCTCCCACTCTATCCAGGATCTGCTACATAGATCCCCCTCTGAGTGGTTGACAGTGGTAGCTGGCCATCATCTAGTTCTTCTGGTCGTATAGTCTGAGGATCACATGGTGTACCAGTTGCTTGGAC